TGCCTGTATTACATAACTATCAAATCATTCAAGGAATATAATATTTTGAGAACAAATTTAAAAATATAATATATGTAACTTATATAAACGGTACATTTAATTTTTTTTATAATAACTTTTGCACCATAGTTTTTACAGCAATGGGAGTTATAATATTTTGTTCAGAATTTAATTAAAGGCTGTAACATACTAAAATGTTATCAGCATCGCTCAGGGCATTTTCAAGATTTTTCCGTTATTTTATGGGTTCTTATTAGTCCAAGAATCTTAGGAATAATAAAGCCATTCGATCTAAAAAATTCAGACCAAGTGGAAACTTTGCACAGTTGTTTAGTAAGCCTAAATAAATAAAATTTCAAAGTCCCCATAAATCCCTGCTGTGCTTCAGCCGCCATCTTGGAAAATGGCGGCCAATTTTCACTTTTTTGACAATATTTTACAAACTATTGGTATTAGAGAATTTTTGTAGATACAAAAGTTAAAGAACGTCTAAAAATACATCTTTTTTATATTACAAGGTTTGCTCTATCTCTAATGGTTATTGAGATAAATAATAAAAGTTAGTATTAAATAAAAAAATTCTCATGTTATTCTTATTGAGGAAAATGAAATTGTTGCAGTTTGCTTATTTATGGATATATTTTGATCAAACTTGGCAAATTTATTTGTTTTATACTAAGCTATTAATATTTAACATAAATATACACTTTAGGTACCCTCCCTATAGCAGTAAACCTAGTACTCGTTAAATTTAAAGTTATTTAAATAGGGAATCTATCTTACATTTTTAGGATATATTTTAGTAATGATCCAGTCCGGCAAATGAAAATTTATTTTTTAGACATATTAACAATAGTTTTCCCTTATTAATATTAGTAAGTTTAAAGGTCACTCACTATATTTTCACTACTTACATGGTAGGCCTACTTATTACTCCCGGTATAATTATTTTGTCGGTAAATATTAGGAAATTCAACCGCACAGCCGGAATTTTTGGGAACTTTTACCATTTCATCAACTAGTCTCACTGTGCTTAACTGTGCAAAATTTCAATTTAGTCCGGATTTTAAGGTTCAATTTCCTAATATTTACCGACAAAAAATTATACCGGGAGTAATAACGTAGGTACCACTTAAGTTTAGTAGTTTTTTTTAGTAGTTACATGGTAATGACAACATAGTAAGTGGGCTTTAAATCATAATACTAATAAGAGAAATGATTGCTAATATGATTGAAAAATGAATATCCATTTGCCTGACTGGATTTTTACTAAAATATATCCTAAAAATGTAAGATAGATTCCCTATTTAATTAACTTTAAATTTAACGAGTACTAGGTTTACTGCTATAGGGAGGGTACCTAAAGTGTATATTTATGTTAAATATTAATAGCTTAGTATAAAATAAATAAATTTGCCAAGTTTGGTCAAAATATATCCATAAATAAGCAAACTGCAACAATTTTATTTTCCTCTATAAGAATAACATGGGAATTTTTTATTTAATACTAACTTTTATTATTTATCTCAATAACCATTAGAGATAGAGCAAACCTTGTAATATAAAAAAGATGTATTTTTAGACGTTCTTTAACTTTTGTATTTACAAATATTCTCTAATACCAATAGTTTGTGAAATATTGTCAAAAAAGTGAAAATTGGCCGCCATTTTCCAAGATGGCGGCTGAAGCACAGCAGGGATTTATGGGGACTTTTGAAATTTTATTTATTTAGGCTTACTAAACAACTGTGCAATGTTTCCACTTAGTCCGAATTTGTTAGGTCGATTTTCCTAATATTCTTCCACTATGTGGGAAAATCGCAATATAAAAAAAGTCCAAAAAATGAAAATAATAATAATGGAGATACTATGGATTATCTTTTTAAACATATCAAATTTCATCAAAAGCGGACCACAGGCGTGGTCTGTAGCTCTGTACACATCCACTCATACAGACACACACAGAAACTCTACAATTTTGACAAAAACTATACTTTCTCCATGTACTATGGTATAAGGAGAGAAAGTAAAATGGTCTGAATTTGGTAGAAATGTGCAAACCTATGTTTATTTGAATGAGTTTGCAAACCATCATGATCGGGCTATGGAAACTGGGGTTTATGGGGGTTTTTATGGGGTAAAAATTGGGTTTTCCAATGTTTGTCAATATTTATCTTTATCAATAAAGCTCTAAAACTCCAAGTTTTGCTATTTCTTTCTAAACCGTTTTGTAGAGCTTAAAAAAAAAATAATTTGATATATTATTGAAGCGTTGTCATGTGTTTAATGGTTTAAGAGAAAATAAAAAAAAAACTGTAAATTTAAAATTACTATTTTATTCTTATGGTAAAAAAGTAAACTGTTGTAGTATATATTTTGTTTATATATATTTTGATCAAATTTGGAAAATATATTTACAAAAATAATATTATTTCATAAAAAAACACTCTTTTATCTTCCCTGATGCAGCAAACCTATGTAAGTTACTGGTTAAACTATTGTTATTTTTAAGTAGGGAAGCCTGCTTCACTCCAGATGGCAAGTGCCTCCTCTATATCTATTCTATGCTCTGTGTCCTAAATTTACTTTATTGACCTTTTAATTGTAATGGCGATAAGGAAACTTCGTATTACAGGAGTTTTGTAAAGCCTAAAAATAACAAAATTCTTTTAGTGGGAATATTGCCTTTGCCCTAAAATATCTAATTTAGGGTTGCAATTTGTAGTTCTGATGATTAGGACTCATTTCAACAGTCCATCTAACTAGGCAGATTAGAATTTAGATGACCTATTGAGAAAAAATCGCAAGTGAGAGACATGCACTTCTATTTTAAACATGGTAGCCAGCCAACCTAGAGACCGGGAATACGTGCAATTTTTTTAAACAGGAAAGAGACAATTTTTTCCTTGAATATGGTATGGGCCGAGAGTTCATCAATATCCTATTGTTGAACCTCCATTTATTGACAGTGTATCATTGGTTCTTTTTTAAAGTTCACTTTGGAAATCATGGTCACTGGTGACAAGTGTTGTTGCGATCACGGTATCATAGAGACTGAGTAATATGGTAACCCACTCACCTTTTCTATTTTTTTCAACATAGTTTTATATCCAAGAGAAAAGTAGAAATTGCGGGAGTAGAAGTTGAATCAGAGGCATTATTATGACTGCATAAATCTAGATTTCATTCCGTCACATTCATATTAATGATACTTTATAACAACATTGTCCCCCTCCTAATGGCCCTAACAGCTTGGATGGCTATGGTCTCCTTAGAATAAACAACACCTGTAGCTCCAAAGAAACACTACTGTGGACGGGGACTAACTACAGCACTACAGTTGAGTTATATTACAGATGAAGGGTGCTGTATTACTGCTGGCCCTTGCAGTGGTGATGGCTGCGGTCTCCTTAGAATAAACAACACCTGTAGCTCCAAAGAAACACTACTGTGGACGGGGACTACAGTTGAGTTATATTACAGATGAAGGGTGCTGTATTACTGCTGGCCCTTGCAGTGGTGATGGCTGCGGTCTCCTTAGAAGAAACAACACCTGTAGCTCCAAATAAACACTACTGTGGACGGGGACTAACTACAGCACTACAGTTGAGTTATATTACAGATGAAGGGTGCTGTATTACTGCTGGCCCTTGCAGTGGTGATGGCTGCGGTCTCCTTAGAAGAAACAACACCTGTAGCTCCAAAGAAACACTACTGTGGACGGGGACTAACTACAGCACTACAGTTGAGTTATATTACAGATGAAGGGTGCTGTATTACTGCTGGCCCTTGCAGTGGTGATGGCTGCGGTCTCCTTAGAATAAACAACACCTGTAGCTCCAAAGAAACACTACTGTGGACGGGGACTACAGTTGAGTTATATTACAGATGAAGGGTGCTGTATTACTGCTGGCCCTTGCAGTGGTGATGGCTGCGGTCTCCTTAGAAGAAACAACACCTGTAGCTCCAAATAAACACTACTGTGGACGGGGACTAACTACAGCACTACAGTTGAGTTATATTACAGATGAAGGGTGCTGTATTACTGCTGGCCCTTGCAGTGGTGATGGCTGCGGTCTCCTTAGAAGAAACAACACCTGTAGCTCCAAAGAAACACTACTGTGGACGGGGACTAACTACAGCACTACAGTTGAGTTATATTACAGATGAAGGGTGCTGTATTACTGCTGGCCCTTGCAGTGGTGATGGCTGCGGTCTCCTTAGAATAAACAACACCTGTAGCTCCAAAGAAACACTACTGTGGACGGGGATTAACTACAGCACTACAGTTGAGTTATATTACAGATGAAGGGTGCTGTATTACTGCTGGCCCTTGCAGTGGTGATGGCTGCGGTCTCCTTAGAAGAAACAACACCTGTAGCTCCAAATAAACACTACTGTGGACGGGGACTAACTACAGCACTACAGTTGAGTTATATTACAGATGAAGGGTGCTGTATTACTGCTGGCCCTTGCAGTGGTGATGGCTGCGGTCTCCTTAGAAGAAACAACACCTGTAGCTCCAAATAAACACTACTGTGGACGGGGACTAACTACAGCACTACAGTTGAGTTATATTACAGATGAAGGGTGCTGTATTACTGTTGGCCCTTGCAGTGGTGATGGCTGCGGTCTCCTTAGAAGAAACAACACCTGTAGCCTCAAATAAACACTACTGTGGACGGGGACTAACTACAGCACTACAGTTGAGTTATATTACAGATGAAGGGTGCTGTATTACTGCTGGCCCTTGCAGTGGTGATGGCTGCGGTCTCCTTAGAAGAAACAACACCTGTAGCTCCAAATAATCACTACTGTGGACGGGGACTAACTACAGCACTACAGTTGAGTTATATTACAGATGAAGGGTGCTGTATTACTGCTGGCCCTTGCAGTGGTGATGGCTGCGGTCTCCTTAGAAGAAACAACACCTGTAGCTCCAAATAAACACTACTGTGGACGGGGACTAACTACAGCACTACAGTTGAGTTATATTACAGATGAAGGGTGCTGTATTACTGCTGGCCCTTGCAGTGGTGATGGCTGCGGTCTCCTTAGAAGAAACAACACCTGTAGCTCCAAAGAAACACTACTGTGGACGGGGATTAACTACATCACTACAGTTGCTCTGCAATGGTATTTATAACACTGTGGAAAACATGGGTATGTGTATCCGAGCATAACCTTAGTAGAATAAATGTTTTAAAATCTATTACTTTATAGTATAGATTCCGATTTTGAAAGAACTGAAAAGATGGCAGGCATTTTGCGAGTAATGAGAAGACCTTGATTAAATTTGATTGATCAAATATAGTTATAATTTAGCTAAAAGCTCCATCTCCTCAAGCTCATTGATAAAATGTTGAAATTTTAACTAATAAGAGGTGTAAATTCAATAGTCACTGGATCATTTTGAGAGTAACAAGATAATTTAAACTCTTATTATTAGTTGATTCAAACGATCCAGTGGCCAATCCATAATGAAATACAGTTTTACCAATAATTTCTTAGGAACGGTAGTGTGGTTGAGATTCAACATTTCTTTTGACTAACTACTAAAAATCAGAGATTATGAAAATGAAAATGAAAATGAAAATGAAAAACGTTTATTTATCCCAAGAATATAAACTAAAACAGAGAGTACCTATACAACTTAACAGTACAATATTTCTAAAATAAAATAATATATGAATAATATATAAAATAATATATAAAATAATATACACCAGAAACAAGTGTCAAATGGCCTGGAAAGTAAAAAAAAGGAATCTGGTGCTATAGTCCGTCCAAAAAAATCCAGGTGGTTTGAGGGAAGTCCCCTCACCACTTATTACAGGTTGACAAAAAAGTCTGGAAACGGCTTGATATCTTTTTAACTAAATTTGTTAGAAAATTCAAACCTTTCACATCAACTTATACGTATGAAAACTACTTTTTGCAAGCATTACAATTTTTTTACCTTCACCAGGGGATCACGGCCCATGAGGAGTAGGTACATAATCTTTAATGTATGCATAGGTTGATATGCACATAATGTTAAAGGTCTGGTCAAGTGGAGTTCATTGCCGGAAACCGCGTCAAAAAAGGTTCATCCGTTACAAAATGGTGGCAGTCCAAATTTCTTGCAGAATATACCATGGTGGAAGGAAAAAACATAGGTGTGCTATTCCCACGTATTCTGACGTCACTCGGATTGCAAACAAAATATCACCTGATTGTAACTGTCAAATTAGTATGTATTTGTTTTGATTTTATTGTTTTTGTTTTTATTATTATGAAAACAATAACAACCAAATCAAAACAAATACATATACTAATTTGACAGTTACAATCAGGTGATCTTTTGTTTGCAATCCGAGTGACGTCAGAATATGTGGGAATAGCACACCTATGTTTTTTCCTTCCACCATGAGAATATACCTGCACATGCCTTAATAATACTCATAGTCAACATTAGCCGGGAAATCTGAAACCCGGTTAAATTTGTTTTGAAGAATGAATAAACTTAGTCCATGAGCTAGTTTACTTTAAAATACAATTTCAGCTCTCAAGCTAATGTTTAATACGGGTATTTACCAATACTAAGGCCTGTGCAGGTATATTCCACAAGAACTTTGAATAGCCGCCATTTTGTAACGGATAAACCTTTTGAGACGCGGTTTCCGGCAATGAACTCCACTTGACTAACCCTTTAAAATTATGTGCATATTAACCTATGCTTATATTAAAGATTATGTACCTACTCCTCATGGGTCGTCCCCTGGTAGAGGTAAAAAAATGATAATGCTTGGGAAAAGTAGTTTTCATACATGTAAGTTGGATGTGAAAGGTTTGAATTTTCTAACGAATTTAGTTAAAAATATATTAAGCAGTTTCCAGATTTTTTGTCACCCTGTATATGTTGCAGCTGACTGACGTTTTTGCAAACCTCAGCTTTTAATCTATTATTTTAAAGGTAGGGTCATGTGGAGGATATAGATTTCTTCCCCTAAAACTGCCTAAATTTTCTTAACGGAGTATAATGAGCCTAATCCTCGAATTACCATCCCACCTGTTGAATGAGTATTTTGCTATTGTGTCAAATTCTGTTCAACCAAGTGTAGATACCTATAGATCATTTTTACCATCAATCCAACTCACTTTGTACAGTAAACTTCCATTTTCCATTAACTATAAGAATTCATAATTTAATAGATTAAAAAAAAACTCTATCTGATTTTCTAAAGGACCAATCCTACTACTCTCTAGCGACTACATGGACTACATGGACGATCGCCTTTCATCATCATGACCTGTCAAACTGATGTCACGTTTTGTTGTTGTTGTCATTGTCATTATTTATTTGTCTTTCACATGTTTCAACTCTTTGTATGTTTACCATGACTATTTCTTGACTTTTCCTATTGCACGATCTGTATGCTTAAAGAAGTGAAAATCTATTGTCTATTTAAATTATGTAATGTGTTTTTACTTATATCCATAACTATGGTGTTAGGTTTTTTAAATGTTATCTCCAATTTTAGGGTCTATAATTTATGATTGTGCTGTACACCCTTGTGTCCGGTATTAGATGCTACATTATTTCTAAAACTTTAAATGGTACTAATTTGAGAGAAGTTAAGAAATAAGGTTCTATAAGTTAAAACAGAATGTAGAACCATCCCCTGTAATTGGTTTTTCTTAAGAGTGATTTATTTAATCCTATGTGGACTGTGAATATTTATTAGGTTTGTCCCCTCACTCACTTCCCTTATGAATAGTGGGGAAAAACTATTAAATATACTGTATTTTAATGGTACCTACAAAAATAAAGTTTAAAACACACACACAACCCTGTCTTGCCCAGGTCATGAGGAGCTCACCAGTCTGTAGCAAAGTTTGGTGAGAGAAGTCTAACTGAAATAAAGAGTAGGTGGGAGTTGGCAGGATAGAAGGATAGATATTTTACATTGCCCCTCAAATTAAACATTTTGCTAGTTTTGATTCCTTAATTGACCTTATCACTGTGTGTATTTCCCCCCAAAATTTATTTGTATTCATAAGATGTGTAAAGAAAGGTGACAAAAGTACCCTTAAAAATAATTATGCTCCATTGAGCTCCGGTTTCTGCTAATTAAGCTAGTTCACATCTGAGACCAAGGCCATGTTTTCTACTTTCTCTACCTCTTTTCTAGCTGGTCCATATACCCTTATTCCACTAGACCCTAAAGATTTATTAGTCTTGCTTGGTGATAGCCAAAAATGATGTAAGGGAAAATTGATGATCCCACAAAGCATTAATCATGTTATGTAATTAGGTTTCTGTGATTATGGGAAGGGGGGTCAATACCATAATTGAAATTTGTTGCAAGTTGACAAATGTGTACAGTATAAAAATTATTATATGTAAAAGTATAAAAGTGGCTTGAAAGTTTGCAGAAGGCCATAAAATGTTCACAACGAGGATAGTACCGTAGTGGGTGTTCATCATTATCCATCAAGCCACTCATTTAGTTTAGGGAACTTTGATTGCTGATCAGCATATTTTAACTACCAGGGTTTACCATTGTCCTTGGTAGTCTTATAGACGTCCACTATCAGTTAGGTGATCTCTTTTCATTCAAATAACATTTTTAACACTTTGATTTGCATGCTCCGTTAAATTAGCTTTGTTCACTACCTCACACAAAATTGATGAATGGCCTTGCCTGGCCTAATCTTACTTCGTTCAAAATATCGTTACTCTGTTCAAATGTTTACAGCCACCTCTGACCTCCCTTCACCCTTTATGCAACTACAGTCATGGCTGTCAACTAGCATTGGAATTTAATAGTGGTTGATACATTAAATAGCTTGTTCCCTATATGGGAAATTTGCTAAAACCAAGAAATCTAATCAAAGAATGTGTGTCATACTTGGTGGGAGTGTCGATTTCATTTCTCCTTTTCCCCTGCTATGATTTGGCCCTAATTGTCTCATAAGGGTGGGAACCAGCTAAAATAGTAGTAGATTAAGTCAAGAACAGAGGGGCAGGTGTCAATTTAAACTAGCTCAATTGGCCGTGACCAAGGCCTCCTTTAACACTTGGATGCGGTAGCCTTTTGAAACAGCTGTTGTAACAATTCATAACCGAGCTTCTGTTCAATTTTGAAGTTTACACGTTTGCTATTCATCTTATTACCATAGCAACAAGCCGGACAGTGCGATGTTGCCACACACCAACACCGCCTTTTATTAGAGGAGGCTATGCTGTGATGGTAGCTCCTTGAACACTTTAATTTACAGTGAGCCCTTGTAAAACATGAATGCGAGATGATTAAAATGATTAATATATTTATGTTGATTGTTTAGTTACAACGTCAACCACCACTGAGCTGTTGGAGGAGGTTAGGCTAAGGTCGCGTCGCAGAGCTCACACCATGTTGGGACTGTTCCGTCGCAGGCGTCGTGGAGTCTACGACGAATGTTGTCGCAAGAGCTGCACAGTCACGGAACTGTCCAGCTACTGTGGACTTCCATGACTCATCTTTGGCCTGCTGATCCTAACTTGATCTATCTATATTTAACTATTTTTTGGACCACTTTTATACCAGATTAAAGGTTTGAATACCTGTAGTACTGTCAAGTTGTTTTGGTTCTGACAGAGGTTCAAAACTTGAAGGTTCATTTTTAAGTTGGATACCAGGCTATTGAACTGTCATTCAAAAGTCATTCTTCACTCATCTCAGTCTTAAATACCTGACGTGTTTGCGTTATATAAATTTCACCTGATCTCATCATAGGGGTTAGATTTTGAGAAAGTCCTGGTGGTCACAAACGCATACATATAAATTAATATCTGCATTAATAAAAAAAATAAGTAAGGTGGAGTTGAGCAATGTGTTAACATTTTTATGTTGTTCTCAAGTCCACAATTAGTTGTTGTGTCAATATTTCTACTGTAGCAAAGCATCTCAAATAGTATACTTCATCATTAGAGGGTAAAGTGACTATTTTCGACCCGAGCTCTAGATTCACTTATCGGAAAATGACCGAGGTTTGAAAAGACACTTTTTGACGTGGGATGAGTTTATATTTTTGGTCATATTATAACGTTATTCAACAAACTAATATAGAAAACAAAAATACATTTCATGTAAAGATACCCTCTTAAAACAACCTCCAACTTGTTTTCAATTTTGCTAAAGCAAACAAACAGCTGTTTAATAAATGATTAGATATTTTGTCTGTGATTGTGTAAGTGTACATTAAAACACTAACAACATGTCACTACAACATGGCACTAACAACATGTCGAACTATTGACAAGAATGCCACAATAAGCTACAACCGATTAAATCAATCTATACATATAATTTCAATTCATGCTATTGCTTAAGATTAGAATTTTACAACAGCTGATATTACTCCCTAGGGACCAAAATGGGGGTTTTTCTCCCTAGGGAGTAAAAGAATTACAATAGACCCGCAACGCATATATTAAAAATGGCTGTGTTTGCTGCAGTGTGACGAAAAAAACATATTTAATGAAGGTGTTGGTTGTTTAGTTATATTTTTAATATTTTTTTATTAGTGTTGCCAATACAGATTTAGCGGTAATAAAACTTAAAAGGTGTTCAAAGATTAAGTAGTGAAGGTTGAATAAATTTTACAAGGAAGTATTTTTTATATTTTATTGCCAATTATTTATATAAATTATACTTCCTTTTATTTTCTGCTTGTGTGTAGAGAATTCCAGAATTGTAGGGATGTTATTGTAAATAGGGCGGTAAGGGGAGTATTTGTTTGTAAATACGCTATGCCTTCGATGTAAGATTTGTTTTATTTGAGGCCTACATAAGTTATGTAATGCATGATGTCTCCTGCCAGTATTAACATACTTGGTATAAGATCACTATACATTTCAAATAAAAATTTATTTGGTGGCACTAAGTAAGATTATGTTGTTAATTTGAATCAGTATTATTAAAATATCAAATGTAAAAATGTAGATTTGGTTTGTCTGTGTGTGTAACTAATGTGTCAACATGTAATTTAAGATTTTTTTATGCACCATACCATACTGGTATGTAAAAATTTTTCATATAAAAATGTAAGAATAATATTATCTTGTTTTCATATAACCCTACTCCCAAAATAATGTGAAAATATTTTGATTCTTAACATAGCAATAAATTAGACATCATAAAAACATAGCAGTTCAATCCCTAAATACCACTTTGAATTACTCATTGTTGAACATATCCTTTTATAGATGCATAATCCTTATCGAATTAAGAATTTGCGAATTGGTATTCAACAAAAGTCAATTTGTATCTGTTCATGATTTATAAGATTTATATTATTGTTGTTTGTTATTTTTTGAATAAGAGGATTATTTAGCAAATCATCAGCAATGCTGGAAATGAACCAGACTAGGTAATTCATCACATAATTGGATGACTTTGGATGACACATTTGCACCAACATCTAATCCCTAATCCCTAAATCTAATCGTAATTGCTTAGCCCTCTAATTGTTATATCTCCTACAATTTTTCATGAAACTTTAAAAACTCAAAATATCCTTGAAACCACAGCATATCAGGAATGAAAAGGTCTTGATTCTTTTGTGATGCTGATGTAACATGTTTTACACATGAATGTGTTTTCCTGCATTGGGTTAAATCATAGAGATAAATGGATTCTAATCTATTCATCTCTATGTAGTCCAAGCAAACTAAAAAAACTTACACAGGGATCGTTAAAAAAATTGCAACAAACAAGCGTTAATAAGAACTGGAGATATAAGAAAAATAATTTTAAAAAAAATTATCAAACTACGAAACGTCCATAAGAAATATATGGTGGAGAGTTTTAGTTTGAATATATCTTCTAAATGAATAAAGATATTTAAAAACGGATTTCAACATTGAAATCAGTGTAAAAATGTAGTTGGTAATGATGTGTCACAACACTATCATTAATTTGAAAAAAATTATCTATGTCCAATATGGCGGAATCAAGATGGCCGCCAAAAACGTGTTCCCTATCAAAATGAAGTACTAACCACCCAATAAATACAGGTGGCGGTCCCAAGTCAATATCTCGAAAAATGTGCATAACAAATGCATGTGAAATATGTTTTTTTAATTTGTCCAATGTTGGGAAAAGCCACCATTTTAAATTGTGATTTTAATGGTTTTCTCGTGCACCGATTTTTGGCAACTTTTAGTATGTGATTCTGCAAACCCAACTCTACAAAATAAAACCATAAAACGTTTTCTTGAAATTTTTTTAAGGTCATATCCTATATTTCTCCGACTAATGGGTTAAATGTGAGCCATGCGGTTGACTATAGATGCATGACAGCGCACCTACGAGCGGCACTAGCCGCAGGAACCTGCGGTCTCGAGGTTCATTGGTATATATGGGTGCTTAGCGGTAAGCCACCGCAGCGGCGCTGTCAAGTCCTGCCAACATGATCAAAACGAAACCCACCCTCAAACGCACCTGCATTATTTGTTTATTAATTTATTAAAGCATATAATAGTGATGTAGGCCTAGACCTAGACAAATGATTAAATATTCACTCTGAAATATGAGTTGTAAAGTTTTTCAGTTTTGTTAGTTTTATCGTTATAACGGACATTGATTTTAGTTTGACATAACCAATGCATGTATATTGTATCTCTCTTGGGTATGAATTATTAAAATAGTTATTCTACTTTTCACGATAATATTATTTATGTAGTAGGTTAGGACTACATTATAAACGAGCTAAATAATTTTGCCACAGTAATATAGTTTAAGCGGGGTGCTCCGCCAGGCAGCGACCACATATAGTACAAAATTTGTACATTTAATGTACCATGTTGTTTGTAGGCCAACTATGTGGTCGCTGCTGCCAGGGAAGAATTATTCAAATTAAATAATATAATTCTATTATTCCATATTTCTAAGTATGAAAGTATTATATTATTCCAAGTCATTTCTAATTCATTTCCAAGTAATTATACTATTCCATTATTCCAAGTACTACACTCGGTACAAATATCTAAAGGTGGATAGAAATCCCTAAATTGGTAATCCTGACAAAGTACCAGCAACCACTTAAGGCTTTTAAGATGTCAACACTGCCACTGCCGCCGCACAAACTTGTGGCGTGGCGCGCCGCAGGGGCACGATAAGAGTGGCCAAAGACTAAAGACAGAATATATATGTAGCCTACATGGAATTGTCTTCGTCGTTCATTCTCATACGCGACTTCGGAGCGTACTCCTAAGTAAAAATTAAAGTGTCTATAAAATTACTGATTGTAAACGTTTTCTGTTTTGAAACATTTTCATATATTAGGTGGCTAGGGTTTTGTTTGTTAAAAACTCCTAACACTTCGTAAAAATCTGCTAAACCCGTCTCAGAGCCCTTACTACCAAAAATATCCCCGCCGCAGCAAATCTTAAATCCCTTAAAATTGTCAGATTTATTTCCTATTTTAATAACATTAATTTTAATGAGTTCTTATTTTGCTGCTACAGGGAAGGTATTGAGGTGTGTTTTTTTAAATTGAAATGTTGATAGCTTAGTATGAAACAAAAGATTTCCGAAAAAAAATTATATATAGGCCTACCTATATGAATTTGAACGGAGGGTGTTTTTGGCCTCTTGGGACCTCAAAACGAAAAAGTAAATCGGTCCCGGGTCTAGGTCTTACCATGAGACCTACGGTAATTTATTCCCTATATGGGAATAAAAACGTATCACAACAATCATAGGTCTAAAAAAATCTCACTGTATAATATTCGTATTCATACTCCCCTATTTTTGCATAATTGATGTACTTAAAACTCACAATCTTAAAATTTTTTTTTCAATTTATTTGGAATTTTCACCAAGATCCCCTTGAGATGCTGGACCCTATGTGGCTGCTTTTGCACATGCCTAAGGACACCAGATAACCAGCCTAAGGTGCAGCAGATTCACCAGTTGTAAGCTCAAAAGTCAAAAAATATTGTAATCAGCTTATACTCTACTCTACTCATCTAATCATTTTACTCTCTCGCTGATTTATGATGTACCTATTGCAATCAGCAAAACATGTGTACCTATTAGTATATAGATATACTGTATGTGATAACCACTTCAATATTCAGTACTAACATTCAGTTAATCAACAGTAGAATTTTTATTTTATGCTACACTACTAGTAGGTACAATAGGACTTGAGCACAGCAATGGTACATCCCTTGTAGCAACATTCTTCACTCACTCCTCGCCGCAGTCTTCTCGAACCCAATGAGTAATCTGCAATTCACAATTGATTACTAATTTCTGTGAATCAACGCAAATAACCTTAATCTTTATGATTTTGTTAATGCAAGTTGAGCAAAATGCACTACAGTAAGGGCACACAGTATACACTACAGTAAGGGAAATACACCCCCGCCGCAGCAAACCTGCAGACTAAGGGAATTTCAATTAGCCTGATTGGATTTACACTAAAATTCCTCCTTAAAAATATCACCTTTATTCCCTAGTTTTGC